AAAAATTACATTTGATTTTAAAATGCCCTGTGTGCAAAGACCTAGCATCAAGAATATATATCCTTAATTGGGATGATGGATTATTGATAAATTATGAAGAGTTAAGTGGATATGTTCAGGTATGTACTTTGAGAGGGTGTCTTCACCACAGACTTGATGTATCTTAAAGGAAGCCAGGAAGGAGGATTTGTAGTAACTTATCTTGTTTCCTAAACTTCTATATTCTGTACCATTTATACCAACAGTGAGGTGCTATAGGAAAACAGAAAGATGGTGAGGAGTAAAATAAACAGAAAGAGGAATAGATCAGAGATTCTCAGTCTTTCTGAAGTATTCTGACGTATTTCAAGTAGGCAGAATTCATAGCGGCCTGGGTTTGATTTCAAACTGCTATACATATAAGGTGCCCCTTAAAAAATTTACACCTCCAAACTACAAGCGTCTAAAAGTCACAATTCAATTGAATTGGGTTTTGATTCTTATTAAATTAAATATTCTGAGGATCGAGGATTGATTCCATTGAATGATCTCCAGTTACTTACACATTTATCTGCTACATTTTGTTTTGAATTAGAGCGAAGGGTGGGAGAGGAAGGGAACAAAAAGCACCGAGAAAGAAAGAAAGGGCAATAAAGCCCAGCAAAAGGGGTTGGAAAAGGAAGCAGAAGTCAGAAAATAGAAGCAGGGGCCTACAGGACACATTTCATCTACTTCAGACTCTTGTCTGGGAAATGATGCTATCATGATCCAACAAGTCATACACTAGAGACCAGCTGTTCCCACTCAATTTCTGTTTAGATTCTGAAGGGTCTGCTTACTTGGGGGCACCCAAATTCTAATGTTTTTATTTTTTTGGCAGTTTTTCTTTTTTTGGCCGGGGCCAGGTTTGGGGCAGGTGCCCTACTCCTTTGAGCCATAGGCGCTGCCCTTTTATTTTTATTTTTTTGAGACAGAGTCTCAAACTGTCCGCCCTGTGTAGCATGCTGTCATGTCATCACTCACAGCAACCTCCAACTCTTGGGCTCAAGTGATCCTCTTGCCTCAGTTTTTCTATTTTTAGTAGAGACGGGGTTTTACTTTGCTCAGGTTGGTCTCGAACTCATGAGCTCAAGCAATCCACCCATCTCGGCCTCCCAGAGTGCTAGGATTACAGGTGTGAGCCACTGTGCCTGGCTGAGGGGTACCCAAATTCTATGAAGACAACAGTGATGATAGTCTTACCATAGAGAAATAGATAATGAAACTCAGCTGAAAAAAAGCCACCCCAGATGGAAGAAACCATGAAATAGGTAAGCTTTGTCTACTGCAAAGTGTCCTTTCTCATAATTTTCACCCCCCCTCAAATCAAATCAATCAGAACTTTATGCTTACCAAAGACAGAGCTAACTAGCATAAGTGCATTCCCTTCTTTGATATGAACCTGAATTAAGTCCAAATGAGGAATGCAACAGTTGAAATCTCTCAACTGAAAAGATCAGGACAAAAAGTGTTCTCTAAAGCTTGTGAATCACTCATGCCTACTTTAGCTCACTGTACGAATCTTGGGCTCTCTCATATACAGGACTGAGAACTCACAGTTCAAAATTAGTGATTCCTCAATCTGGTCCTTCCTTTTGTCATTTATTTGCCCCTATTTCTTACCACTTCCCAATATAAAGCTTCTCCCCCAGCAAAGCTAGTTTCTACACTACAAGATAGAATTATAGAGTAATAGATGTGGAAAGAACCTCAAAGATCACCGAGTTCAAGATCCTTGCTTGACAGATGAGGCAACTAATAATCAGCAAAGAACAGGCTTTAATGAAATTCCCAGAATTAGGAGCCTCTCTTCCTACCTTTGCTACTTTCTCTTCCTTTTTCTAATGGTAAGGATACTATGCCCATACCTTAACATGGGGGAGCTAAACAATAAGTTCAGTTGTAAGAATTAAAAAAGGGAAAGCAGTGAGTATTTTAGCTCAAAATTTTCTCTGTTCCCTCTGGAGATCCAAAGAGGAGTTACATTGCACTCTTGAGAGACCCAGTCCTTTCCTGGGAAATCCTTATCCATGTCTTTCCACAGTCTTGTAACTCACCTCATCTTAATCCCAGCCCTGTCACATTGGATCTTTTAAATGTAGATACTATGTGTATCAAAGATTTTTGCATTAATTTTGACTTTAAAATATTGGATTAAGGCCAGGCATAGTGGCTTATGCCTATAATCCCAGTACTTTGGGAGGCCTACATGGGAGGATCACTTGACCCCATGAGTTTGAGACCAGCCTAGGCAATATAGCAAGATCATATCTGTATAAAAAATTTAAAAAATTAGCCTGGGCTGGTAGTGTGTACCTGTAATCCTGGGTACGTGAGAAGCTGAGGCAAGAGGATTTTTTGAGCTCAGGAGTTTAAGACGAGCCTGGAGAACATAGTAGAGTCTCAAAAAAAAAAAAAAATTGAGCAGGCATTCCATGTCTATGGAACAAAACAACAAAATTATAAAATTATATTGAATTAATATATTATTTATCTTTAAGGTTTTGGTGCCCATTTAAATTTCGTACCTGAAGTGAGTGTCTCACTTACTTTATCTTAATTACAACTCTGCCTTTGATTCACTCTTGGTTCTCATCAAATGACCCAAAGACAAGAACAAAATTGAAACGTGTAAACTTCATGGTTTAATTCAGTAAAGACTTTTTATTAAAGCAGAATAAAAATGATTCCAACTCACCCGTATTGGGAGGGTAAATTAATTAGTGTCTACCCACCAGTGGCTACCCATTTCACTCAGGGCGATCCCCCATGTCCACATTTCCAGTCTGCCCTAGGGCTGCTGAGAGGAGATGGGAGAATCTCAGACTCAGGCATCGATCTCAAGTTATTCGACATATCCCAGGAACTTCACTGGCCCCAATTCATCACAAAGGACAAGAACAAACCCCTCCATGGGGGAAATGTGGTACCTGCAGGCAGGATATGTGGTGCCTTCAGTTAGCTGACAGACTGTCATTTGGAACATTGTCTCGCTCTGGAAGCAGAGAATGTCAGAATGGTTTCGGCAAGCCACCCTCTTGGGAGAAACGCAAATATTATTGATTTTTCTTGGCCTCTCATGGATGAAGACATGCTGCTTTTTACAAGTGCGGTCACGCTCCCTGATGGCTCTGTGTATGATCATGTAGTTGCAGTACCTTACAGGAATGTCACTGTGAGGGTAGTCCACGTGCAGGTGCTCCAGCGTTGACACCTGTATTGCATCCTCACTCAGCTCATTTTCCCAGAACAGAAGCAGCAAGAAAACTATCACCATTATTATCATCACGGGTAGGATTCCCTTCACATCTCTGGCTTTAACTCCTGTTAAGTAAGGGGAGACAGCAAGTATAGCCAGGGGTGCTCATATTCCTCCTGCTCCCACCCCTGACTGCTTTGCTATTCTTGGGATATTTTATTTCCTTTTCTGTGCTAATGAAATCATGCTGACCCTGCAAGGTAGCTGGAAGCACAGCTCTCCAAGAAAGCCCTGTTTGACCATTTCAGCTCTCAGAGTTTGGTATTTACTCTCTAATTATTAAATTAGTAATAAATGTTGTGTTTCTCTTGCAAAGCTCTTTGATCGCAAGTACCATGTCTGCTATTACACCTGAATCTTTCAAGGTGTGTCACACAGAGCCGGACATAGCAGAAGGTGGTAAAGAATACCCACGCCAGACCGTTTCCTTCACGTTGCTGAGTAACTGTCCCATACTTTTCTAACCCTTCATTTCACCCCGTTTTACGTGATTTTAGTCCTTCCTGCTAACCTTTTCTTCCCAGTCCCTCCCCGACCCCTCCTGGTGTTGATCCTGCTTGCTGTTGCCTCTCACCTGTCGTTTCTGCTGTCACTCTCACAGGTAACATAGCCTTGCTGTCGCTCTCACAGGTGACATAACCTTTTGATCATGGACCTGAGAAAATCCCTTCTGTTTTTCCGTTTCCTGATGATATCTGATAAGGAGCCATTGAGTGTGGGGAGGGCCGAAGTGGAGAGGGCAGAAAGGGAGGAACCTGTGGGGAAGTGTGCTTGAGCAGCCTGGGGAGGAAGAGAAGCTGCCTGAGTTGCAGAGGGCAGACCATGCCTTCCTTAAACATGTGTGGGCTTCTTAAAAATGTCAAAATATGAAGGGGGCACATTGTTCTTGTTACATGTATACCTTGCATAACACTGATGGAGCTTTACGTGTGCCTGTCCCCATAATAGTGCTTATTATACCCCGAAGTTGTTACCCCTTATCTCTTTCCCATCTTTTTCTTCCTTAGGTTTACCATTTGTTTATGTCATCCATGATTTCTTCCATCAGTGTTTTGTAGTTCTCCTTGTAGAGGTCTTTCACCTCCTTGATTAAGTATATTCCTAAATATTTTATTTTCTTTTTAGATATTATGTATGATATTGAGTTATATTGATTTGATTCTCAGCTTGACTGTTATTAGTGTATTGAAGAGCTACTGATACGTGCATATTGATTTTTTTTTTGGAGACAGAGTCTCACTTTGTTGCCCTGGGTAGAGCGCTATGGTGTCATAGCTCACAGCAATGTCAAACTCCTGGACTCACGCGATCCTCTTGCCTCACCCTCCCAAATAGCTGGGACTACAGGTGCCTGCCACAATGTCCAGCTACTTTTAGAGATAGGGGTCTCACTCTGGCTCCGGCTGGTCTCAAACTTGTGAGCTCAAGTAATCCATCCACCAGGGCCTCCCAGAGTGCTAGAATTTATTAATTTCAGGAATTGGTGAAGTCTTTGGGGTTTTTCTAGATAGGAGACATATCATTAGCAAAGAGGAATACGTTGACTTCCTCTTTCCTAATTTGTGTACCCTTTATTCCTTTCTCTTGCCTGATTGCTCTGGCTAGAACTTACAATTCTGTGTTGAATGGAAGTGGTAGCGGTGGGCACCCTTGCCTTGTTCCAGTTCTTAGGGGGAATGCTTTTAACTTTTCCTCATTTAGTATGATGTTGGCTGTAGCTTTGTCATATATGGCTTTTATATGAAGGTATGTTCCTTCTATGCCTACTTTGTTGAAGGCTTTTATCATGAAAGATTGCTGAATTTTGCAGGATGCTTTTTCTGTATCCATTAAGATGATCATATGGTCTTTGCTTTGCTTCTATCTAGTCAGTGGTTGTAGGTGGCAGGGCGCTAAGCATTTGCTGCACCTGGGAAAGATGGTGGCTTGCAGCTTCCAGGTATCTGGTGGAGTGTTAGCCTCAGGTGGAAGGTGGCAGTGCAGGAGCTTCAGGAACAGGGGCGTGGGGCTTGGCCACCAGACAGCTGGGGCTCTCCCGCTGCCCAGGACCTGCTGAGGCAGTCACTACAGTGCTTCTCAAGAGGTGCCTGTCCTGCTTGACTCTACTGTGACAGGGAGGGGTGCTTGGCTCCCAGTCACCGGCTTACAAGAGCCTCTGCTCTCCCTCCTCAGCCTGGCCTGGGCAATGCAGAGGCAGCTGTAGCAAAGCTGAGCCCTGTGTCTACCTGGTGCTCTGAACCTGAGAGCAGATAATGTCATCAGCTGCAGCGACCGAGCAATGGAGGTCACCAGGTTCCTGTTTACCCTCTCTCTAGTGCAATGTCACTGCATAGACTCCACATAGCTCCATGAGCAGTCCAGAGGTCTGCAGTGGTTGTGAGAGCCCCCTCCCAGCTCAGGCCACAATGTCTGTGGGGAGAGCATGGAATCCTGGGGTTCTCTCCTCCTGTCCTTCTCCACATGTGGGTGCCTCCTCCAGGCTCTTCTCTGCTGATTCACAGTGCTCCTCCCAAGCAGGCTCATCTGTAGGTGGCACCCACCTGCAACCTTCAGTCCTGTCCTTGAGAGCAGTGTGCATGGGCTGCTTCTAGTCCTCCATCCTGCCAGTAGTCAAGTGTGGG